TTTTAGGCAGACTTTTGGTCAGATTTTCATTTTAGATAAATGGTTCTGTAGTTACATGGAGGATGGGTATAAAGGTCGAGGATGGGTTAAGTCTGGAGAAGTGAGAGAGAACAATGGCAGAACCAGAACAGCGGTAGTAGGGGCAGAAATCCCTTCAGGAGCTATTTCTAATAGGATGTAACATAGGCAATAGTAATCTCAATATGTCTTAAATAGAATTCATCATTCCCCATAAACTGACCCTCTACCACTCTTCTGTCTCAGGAAATGATATAATTTTCTTCATCTCCTAGATCCAATTAAACACTACATCCTATGGTTTCTAACTCCTAGCTATCTCCCAAACTCATTCACTTTTTTCCACTATATCCTACTTCACCATCATTTTTGCTTTGGATAAATGGACAACCGCCCAACTGATGTTGCACATCCACTCCTGACCCCTGAAATCCATTCTTTGTTTCCAAAGGGAGCCTTCTGATAAACCATGGATCATGTCACCATCTTGCTCAAAACCCCTCACAGGCTTCCCATTGTTCCTAGGATAAAGTTCACAACTCTTAACATGGCTTACAAGATTCTCTATTATCTGGCTGCCTAAAAACAGAATTCCAAACTGAGCGTTTCTAATGTGCTAGGGACAGTGCTATGCTTCGCAAGCATTATTTCATTTTATTCTCATTGTGAGGCAGGAACTATTAGCATTCTCCTCATTTTTCAGATGAGAAAACTGAGTCAAGGAGAGATTATGTAATTTACCTAAGGTTGTAGAGCTAATAAAGTGTTGGGGTCAGGCCTGACTCCAGAGCATGTGCTTAAGCTTTCACACTCCCCTCATCCTGTATGCTCCAACCACACTGCTTTACTTTCAGTTCTGAGAACTCATCTGCTCTTTTTGGCCATGAGGCCTCCAGACATATTGTTCCCTATGCCTGGAATGTCTCCCTCAAAAGTCTCATTTTTGCCAGGATAACATTTATACATTCATCAAATCTCTGCTTAAATGTCATCTCTTCAAGAAAGTCTTCCCTTACTATCTAAAATTACATTGTTTACTTCTTTATAATCTGTCTCACTTCAGTAGACTGTCAAAATTGTTCACCACTGGTTCCCAGTTCTTAGAAGAGCATTCACCTGGGGTTCCATAAATATTTGTTAAAGGAAGGCATGACTGATGATATGGGGATGGAAACTCCCTAATTTAGTAACTTTGTCTCTTCAGACTGATAAGAAACAAAAAGAAGCCAAATATAAATTTGTTCATCCACTTGATATTTATTTAGTACCTTCCAGGTCCCAGCCAATACTTTTGAGAACTTACAACCCTCCCACGTAGGCATGATTATAGCACAATATAAGCAAGTATAAGCAAAGTGCATCTATTGCAGGAATAAAGTGCAATAGATGTAAAGATGAAAAAGAGGGTATAAATCTATGGCAAGCCTTTACAATAGAGTAGATTCTTGAATTGTTTTGCAGAATGAATGAGTCTTGAAATATATATCACAAAGTCCATGTATTTCACTTATGAAAGGGGAGAGCAGCATCCACTATATACTGGGGCACTATATATCACATTTAATTTTCACAACAGCTCTGTTATTAATTCCCATTCTATAGATGTGGAAATCCAAACTAAAACAAGTTAAGTAACTTGTCCATGGTTATGTGGTACATTAATAAAGGAGTATAATTTGACCCAAGGCTATCTGACTCCAGTACCCATTTACTTACCATTATATTACAGTCCTTTGACCCTGTACTCCCCAGGGCCTAATTACTTCTGTTTTCATTATAACTCTTAATAAAATTGGTTATCTGGTTTCCCATTCTAACATAAATAAGCAGCAAATTGAAAGGTTCAAAAAGAAACCAAAGTGAAGTATACTAACAGCAAAGAAAGGAACAGGAAAACCATAAAAACTGAACACAAAAATTCAAAAAACATGGATCATATAGTCTTATACACTCCACCCTTAGCTCTGCTACAGTACTTGATGTGCATAATGATGACCACGCTACAAAAAAAGACTGTTGTAGTCACTATAGTCTATACGATAGAGAAATAATTTTGATGCTTAAAAGGGTAAACTTTAGGTATCTAGAAAATTAATTCCTCTCTGGTAAACCTGGATAAATGAATTGTAATGATTATTTCCAAAGTGCCTGTAAGAAAAAATATCCCAAGATCTTAAAGAGTCTTCATTTTATGGACACGATTATTTTCCTATTGCTTTAAACTAAATTCAAGCCAGAACAGAAAAGCTGTCCTCTTAACTTCCATATGTATACCCAAGAAAATCATAAATTTAAAAAACTCACATTAGACTTTGAACAACACGTGTGGATTGAGTAATTTAGACTGAGAAGCAAATAGTGTTATTGAGCATTATTAATATCTAAAAACAACCTCTTAAAAAAGAACCATATTAATAAATCTAACAAAATGGGATAAATCATGTACAAAACAAGAGGGAAACTATGTTTAACCTGTTGCACTCACAATTGAAATAGGTATGTAAAGGGAAAAAAAAGAAACTTAAGCAAACAAAGAGAAAGCTGGTTGAATAATTGACCATAAAAGTGTTTCTATCATATATTCCACCTTGTTCCAACTTTTAAATCTGAAGATTTCAGCTCTTTTATAACATTAGCTTTTATTATTTTGTGTATTAATAATTCTTTTTTCTTTCTTTTTTTTTAAAGAAAGGTTGCGCTTAGACAACAGATCCTGGATTTTTTTTGTTTTGTTTTCAAGAGAAACGGAAAATTGTTTCACCAATTATCTTGAACAAGCTAACAAGGGAACACTTAATATCCTTTATCATTTTGGAGGCTTTTAAATGTGAAACATTCCACACAGAGCACTGGTTGTAATAATGTAAAAAGCATACTAGCTACATTTCCCAATAACATGTAAAAATGATTATAAGGAAAAGTCAGTCTTTACTTGCAACTAACTGTAACTCACATATTTTTTTCTAGGAGGAATGTAGTGTCTGTTAAAACTCTCTAGAAAGACAATACTTGTTTACTTATATTCGAAAATTGCTTTTATTTTAGTTCATCTTGTACAACTTTGGCCCCAAATTCAATGTTTTACAAAACACTCTAAATTTAAGATGTAGAGTGAATTCATAGTAAGAGTTCACATAACAACCTATTAAAGTGAATTTAAGTGCAAGTAAAATTTTACTGTATTAGACAGACAGTTTTAATTATAATGCTCTTCCTTACCTGGACGCTCTTCAAAATAAACTCACTTTTCTCTCTTACATCTTTAAAGGGACACCTCTTAGAAAGCATAAGCAGATGAGCAAGAAGCTTATTCAACCCATCCAAAGAAACAGCATTTGAAAGCCCGTCTGATGGACAATAAGGTGTCTCTTTCACCGAACGAAGATACTCAGTTTTTCTCAAAATAATTTGCCTAATGTTTTCCAGTGCTGTCTCTCTAGTAGTTGAATCTCTACTGCACAGTCCATCCCATCTCACTTCATTCTCTCCTTCAGCCATGACAAATGGAGATTTTTTTTTTCTTTGCAGTCTTCAGTTACCTTTCAGCATGTCCCCAAAAGCACTTAGGGTTTTTTGAACAAGAAATGTAAGAATAAAAATCAGGGAAATCGAATCGTCATGAAAACACACGTCTGGGTGGCATTTGGAACCCGAAGTGTTTTATATTGATGGCTTTCAAACGATCTGCAAGGTAGACCTCACCCTCTCCTACACGAAGGGGCAGTCTTCTGGTCGGAGACTTAAAAAAGAGTTGGAAAGTTGAAACCTTACAGTGCTGGCTTTGCTGGACAGGGAAGTGTTCTCCGTCTCGCGGGGTCAGCGGATATCCTCACGTTGTGGAGCTGTCAAATCCGTGCTCTGCCCCAAAAGGCTGGTAACAGTTGAACGCCCTCCAGCCATTCGGGTTTATTTGTCTGTGCAGCCTCAGGGTTCTCGGGAGCGCTCCCACTCCGCCCCTCCTCCGGCACCAATCCCCGCCCTCCGCAGCTCCTCCCTGCGCCTCAGCGGCTGGCTGGACACAGTCGCGGAACCGTGGCTCACTGGCCGCCGCGGCCGGAGATCCAGGCGTGCCCCGGAGGCAGCAGCCTCCAGCAGCTGCTGTCTCGGCGGCGTCGTTACAGGAAAGTGCTGCGGCCTTGTTGGTTCCGGAACCCCTGGCAGACGCCGTTTCTTTCCCGATCGCTGCGTCCTCGCTCGCTGCCCGCTGAACCAGACGCGCACCGGACTGCCCTGCTATCCCCGAGCGCGGGTTGGGCTGCGGAGCTGGTGGAACCGCAGGGCCGGAGGCGCAAAACCCGCCTCTTCGCCCAGCCCCATCGGTGGGGCTCGGCCCAGAGGGCGGGAGCAGGGAGGGGAGATGGGGTCCTCACCCCCAGCCCCTCCCCTTTCTCCGCCCGGCACAAACCAGGAGCCGCCCCTGCCCTAGCGCCCTCTTCCCCGCCCAGGCAGACGCGACCCGCGGAGTCAAAGCCATTGGGAAAAGCCCCGCCCTCCTCCAGCTACCTCTAGACCCCCAGTCCGTGCGCGGCCGCAAACGGCTGCCGGATGCTACGCATGCGTGATTGCGAGCAAAGCGCATGCGTCTTAAGGGCGTTTGTCCATATCTTGAGTTTTGGGTTGTCTGGACTGGAGAAGGGAAAAAAAGTAAGAAGTTTAAGTACATTGAAACTTTCATAGACAAAGCAAGCACGGCAAAGAGGACACGGACGCGCTCCTGGAAGAAATTGAATCTAATCGTAAGGTTAGCCTAAAAATAGTGACTTATTACGCCAAACCCTTTATTCAAGGAGGTAGGGCATCCTCGTATTGACTGCTGGGAAATGCAGTTTTGATGCTGGCGCGTTCTGTTTGCGACAGAGACTACAGCCCCCACAAACCACTGCGACGTTGCCTGTGGCGGCCTGGGAGTCGACCGTTAGCGCGCTCGGAGACTGAGAGCGTCAGCTTGGTGAGAACTGTAGGCTTGGCTGCCACTTTTCCCTTGACAGGATTTTTCCTTCCTAGGTCCCTCTGAGATTTTGGAGACAAAGCCATCTAGGGTTGCCCTCCTTAGCCCAGGGACTTTTTCTAGTAATCTGTGTGGATAGGACTAGTCCGGGTGCCCAAGCCCGAGGGGCGCGTGGAGGCCAGGAAGTGGGGAAGGTGGCGGCGACCCTAAGAGTCGGAGGGAGCGTCATAAGGCCAGGCAAAGAGGGATGCTGTAGGAAGGGGTACTCCGCGCTGCTGCCTGTGCTTCCGCCCTTTCAAGTGGACTCGTGCGCGATGGATTCGGGAATCCCAGTGCAATTGCACCTCCGTTTGCCATTGCACAAGGGTTTTTCTCAGCTTTCTTTACTCAGCTAACATGACATCCCAAGCAGGGCTTTAAAAGTGAGTTGTGAAATCCATTTTGTATGAGACTAAAGGGAAAAGAATACCAAGAATACCTGGTATTCCTCGGTGTGAATTTTTGCAGGTTTTAAGGGTATTATATGAAAAAAACCATAAAAATACTCAAAATTAAAAAAATTCAACCGTGTGTTTACAAATTGCTATTTTTTAGAAAATCATTCCTCTTAGAAAAAGTTGTGGTGAGCGGATAACCAAATTAAATTTTAATTATTCACATTACAGAATAAATGTGTTTCAAAAAATTTAGCCTTGTTAGGTACTAAGTATACAACAGTGAAAAAGATATCGCTCCTACCTATGAAGTTAGAGTAATGAATGGTTAAACATACAATTACAGTTCTTATTATATCCTTGGGATGGCTAGAGAGAAGTTCATTTAGCCCAGTCTTGGAAAGCCATGAAAATCATCCCAGTGAAAGAGAGGGCCAAATGAACAGCATATGGTAAGGCCCAGAAGTGAGAAGTACGGCACTTTCAGGAAACTGCAATAAGCCAAATCATACATATAATATTTTGGGAAGGATAACTTTCTTTGTATTGATGTACTTTGAAGCTGCAAAGAGACAGGTACTGTGAATTCCAGATAGTTGCTTAAAGTGACCTATCCTCGAGTAGATTTATAGTTTCAAAGAATTGGCCTCTGGCTGGCCGAGTGGCTCAGTTGGTTAAGAGCTCGCTCAAGAGTTTGAGCTCTGAGCAACAGCGGTTCGAGTCCCAGCCCGAGCTGAGCAGCCGCTGAGCTGCCAACAGGTAGCAGGATGGCTCAGCTTAAAAAAAAAGAATTGGCCTCATTTGGAAAGCCTTGCTACATTCTAATTCTACTAGTTTAATTCAGAATTTTAAAAAATAAGAACTTCTTATGAGTATGATTTCACAAAAGAAGCAAAAAAGTCATTCCTTTCTTTGTCTTCTTTTTGGGCTCATCTTCTGTTGTCCAACCCACAAAGAATAGGGTTTCTTAAATCTAGGTCCCCTTTTTACTGCATTGTTGAAACTGATCGCATCCATACCCATGCTTTCACCACCACCTGTGACTCTTAAATGTATATAGCTCCATCCAGCTTCACTTTCAGCTTTCATAGATCCATCTGCTTGTAGCATTTTGATAGCTTACGTTAAAGCCTGAGAACAGTTGGTAATCACAAAACTCCATTGAGTTTGGGTTGGTTTGGAGTTATCTACAAAGGTAAATATGCAGGAATGGCCAGTAAACAGACAGGAAGACCCACTTGTCCTAAGGCCAAGTGAAAGTGATTAAGGAGGAAGGAGCACTAAATTATGTTAAATGCTGCTTTAGGTAAAGTGAAATGAGGATTGATAACTGACCACTACATTTAGCAATGTGAATATCACTGAAGATCTTGAGAGCAGTTTTGGAATAAAAGGTAAAAACCAAATGGGCATTTTATTTAAGAGAGAAAAGGAGAACTGGAGACAGTGAGTGTGGATGCAGCACCTCTGGCACTGTTTTGCTTTTTTGCTTTTTTTTAAAGATTTTTATTGGGGAATTGGGGGAGGGGAGCAGACAAGTTGCTGTCGTTTTGTTCTTCATTCTAGTTGTGGAGGACGTTGCTTCACTGGCCCATGTTGGTATTATCATTGTGCTCTTCCCGGCTGAGGCAGATCTGTCGCCGGACACTGGACGGCTGCTCACAGCGGCACTTGGCAGCTCACACTGGCTGCCAGCCACCCATGGTAGCTTTACGGGAGCACACTGCAGCCTCACTGCAGCCTACGCTGTCAACTCATGGCAGCCCAGCTCCAGGTCTAGCTGTTGTTCACCATCTTAGCTGTAGAGGGCACAGCGTCACTGGCCCTAATGTGGGATCCGAACCAGGGCCCTGCTGCTCAGAGCTGGCGTCCCGAGCCAACTCTTAACCAACGCGCCACTCGGCCGGCCCTGGTACTGTTTTCTTTGTTCAGACTTTTCTAGCCTCAGTCTTTGACTCCTCTTCCTATAGATCTTAGCTCAAATATCACTTTCTCAAAGAAATTTACCTGATCTGATTAAATGCCCCTATTATAAATATACTCATATACCTTTACTTGCTGATAAGTTTACAATTGTCTGTGTGTGCTAATTTGATTAAAGTGTGCCTGCTTCTGAAGCATAAGCATACAAGAGCATTGACTGTTGATTTTTGCTCTTGCTCATCATTTACAGTCCTGAGTACAGTGCCTGGCATCAAGTATGAACTTAATAAATATTTGATGAATGAATGGAAGAAAAATGTAATGACACAAAATTTTCAAAGATATTACATATTTACCTGTTGTTTATAAAACACAAGATAATGGATGGAAGAAGATACTTTATAATGAAAACATTTTAGAAAGTTAGTCTTAAAAGAGCAAAACTTTTATTGCTAATGAATTGTAGTGCTTATCCTCATGAAATAGGATTTGCTAATATTTTTATCATGTTCCTGCATACCTCATCCTGCTACAAGATAGCAGAGTATTTAACAATACTCAAAATGAGTCTGAAGGCTTTGGCTAGAAATAAATGATAAAAATTTATTCAAGGGTCTTAGGGTTTGCAAGTGAGAAACATAACTAGGTAAAAACCTAGGAAGTGTTCTGAAGAAGGTAAAGTTAAGAGTTCTTATAGTAAAAAGTGCATTGTTTAATCAGTCCTGCATTCTTAGCCCTAGGGTTGGTCCAAGATTATCAGTCTGGATGATGGATGCCAGGAGGTCTGGTCACATCTAGTGTTCTGGATAATGGATGTCAGGTGGTCTGGATACGTGAGTCCTTCATGGGGTAATCAGAAGGTTACCTGGAGGTCTGATACATGTTCAGGCATTGTTGCAGGGCTGGAAAGTTCAAAAGTTTAAGCTTCCAGGCTAGTTAAATCAAAATAGAGTAATTTCTTATACCTCAACCTACTTGATTTTAGTAACTTACCAGCTTGACTATAGGGACTTCGTTTTATTGCTTCATAATTTCTCTCTCTCTCTCTCTCTCTCTCTCTCTCTCTCTCTCTCTCTTTCTCTCTCTCTCTCTCTCTCTCTCTCTCTCTCTCAGAGAAGTAAAAATGTATGTACAGGAGTTGCCTCTTTAAATGAATAGTGCTGTAGTCAAGGAAAAGGCTGACTGGCTGGTCTCCAGGAGGCCTTCATTATAAAATCCATTAATGAATTTACTCTTAAAAAAAAATCAGGACACCTCAGGTTTATGGGCTTAGAAACACAATCTTGCTAAGTGTACCAGAGTTTGTAAGACTTTGAGATAAATATAGATATAGACATCTCTGTATCTATCTATAGATAGATATTTGAGTGATATAGACTACTGATGAGTTTATCATGCCAGTTGATTGATATACTTTGAAATATTTGCCAAATAGATAGTGTACTGATTCTTTGACCAAGGGGTTTTCTCTGTAGAAAAATTACATGAGATATCAGCAGGTTGCTTAGGAGCTTGGATTAAAAACAAATGGTGTCACTTCATAGCATTAAGCTGTGAGAACCTCCACAGTAAATAGAGCTTTACTTGCCTCTAGTTTTTGCCTTCTAGGAGTTGCTTTTTCTTTTTCCATTCCTGACAACTCTTCTTTTTGATGAAAATATTCTTTCTTTAAATATGTTAAGACATTTATATTGCAGCCTAGTCTGTGGCCTTACGGCTGTTCTGTCTCCATACGCTAATTTTGCATATATATGCTCTGGTCCATTATAGACTGATTTATAGTTTAGCTCTCAGAGGATAATTTTCTTTCCAAGTTTTCCTAGGCCCAACATGTCATATGGGGTACATTAATCTTGAGCTCAGCAACAAGGTCTGAACTAGAGATGTGTATTTGGAAACTATCAGCCTATTGGAATATTTTGTTTTATTTTACTTTTAAGCTACCATGTCTAAGTGCTTACTATGTTTCAGGCACTCTGTTAAATGCTTTGCATATATATTCTTTTATCTTTACAGAGCTAAAAAAAAAAAATGATCCAAAACTTATTCTTAACCACTATTGACTATGGAGACAATGTAGAATAAAAAAAGATCCAGGGTAGTCTGAAACTAACCAGAGAAAGAAGAGAATAACCAGGAGATGGTCAACCAAGGGATTCGAAAATTTCAAAAAGGAACGACTAGTCAATACACAGAATGCTACTGCCATCATGTCTAGAAAGCTCAAGTTTCTAGGTGATTTGACACTTAGAGTCCCTGTTGCAGTACAATATATGCATCTGGCATATATTCCCATATAAACATTGAATTGCTATGCTGTATTGAGGTAAAGATTGATGGATTTGGGGTGGCCTGTAGGGTAAAACCATGCTGCTCGCTAAGGATAGGAGTCTCCTAAAGGACTGGCATTTCTCTTGTTCAGCCTCTATCAAGAAAAGACAGGTTCCAGATCAGGAAACTATCACTTGGATAAAGGGATTTAAGTGGGGATGAGTAACTCAGGATCTCTCTGAGCTGCTCTTTCGTAGGCTTAGTCTTTAAGGAGGGGTATGGTAGGCATGGATTCTTGGGTGGTGGGTACTAAAATAATGCTCATCAGTTGAAGGTAGATCAGGAACTAGGATATAATGGGGCCTAAAAGCCCCAGAGAGAAAATCCCAACTTCAGATTCACTACCTGGTTTCCTTTTGATGTCTGCGCTTTCTTCTCTAGGCTTGGTCAAGTCTTATTTAAATATTATAACTTTATCTTTCCTGTATCAGGACATATAAGGGAAAGAGTCATATAATCATAGATCTAACTAGGCAAGAGCATTATCAAGGGAGCAGCACCCTTTTCCCAGTGAGGCCAGTGAGGAGGGACAGTGATAGTGAGATTTTTAAGGGGAAAGTGAATTTTGAGGTAAAAAATTGGAACTCATGGGTTTAAGTCATAAGTTCCCCACGTGGAGATTCTTCTTCCATTGTCAACTTCAGAGCATCTGGGTTTTAATAAACAAGGCAATGCAGTTTTTCTATCAGAAATTCATCAGTGACCTTTTTCATTGCGCTTGTTGGGGAATGGAG